AAAAAAAGTCGATAGTGAAGTCAAAAAAGAACAGGAGGGATACAAGCCTTGCATTTCAAACAAAATTTTGATGTTTGAAGGAAAGTAAAGCGAATGTTACACGCACAATATTTATAGTGAAATTTGTATGACGATAAATGACAGCCTATGGATCGCAATAAGTATTGTCAATATCATCAATCCCAATCAAATCAATCCAATATCGCGATAAATATTGAGCGTGAAGCTTTCGCCTATGTTAAATGGTGTGACAAAAGATTTGTAAAGCGTGTTTTTTTTTATTTTGAAATCTAGAGAGCCAAAATAGGTAAATAAATTTGGAGATTTTGGAGTAAATGGAGTAGATAACAAATATGTATTCTTCGCTGGTAACAAACATTTTGTAACCGGTAACTAAAATTCGCTCAAGTTTTTGGTAATAATTATAATTTTTTTTGATTACTACTAGTTGATTTCCACCAAGTCTTAAGTGCAGTTTATGTTTATTGGAAAAAGATATCCTTTCTCCTTTACAACTCGAAAGAGGAAATCTATTAATAGACGCAAGCGGAAGGAAAAAACAAAACTTAAGAAAAAAAACCTTGCCGATCACCCCATGTTGAAATTATTGGGACTTCTCTGAGCTCTTAACTGCAGTTAAGCCTTTGGTGGAAATAGGCTATAAATATCAGAATAGCTTTAATGTATAACAATAAATTACATCAGCTATTTTTAACCGAATTCCAAAAAGGAGGAGGTTATCAATTCGTGAACATTTCTTTTTTATGTACAACATTAATGCACTTACGGTTAACATTTTTTTAAATTACTAGAAAACCAAAATAATAGTTGCATTTACAATTAGAAAAACTGAAGGACAATTTCATAACTAAATGAGGGGGGTCAAAAGTGTTTTATTTACATAAACACTAAACAAAATTAATTCACGTAAATTACTGCGAGCAGAAAAATAGTAGCACATAACAAAAAGTCATAAATTTGTGTTAAATTGTTAATTTTTAGACTAAAATTTAGCACATTTACTTAGTATTTGGTAGCATGACCGTTGTTTTTAATCACTGCTACATAACGATTTCTCACTTCTAGCACAAAGCTTGTGTTCTCGGAGCCGTCTCCTTACCGTATGAACATTATATGGTAACTGTGGACGAGTCTTCGAATATATAATAAGTTTGCCGTATGGTAGTCGTTGATAATTGCTGTTTGCCGTGTTTCAGGTTTATTTTCATACGTTAACGTATTCATGGAGGCTGAACATCCACCAATTTTTTCACTTCTTTATATGTTTTCCCATTTTTCATAAGGGTTTTAATAATTTCACGTTTTTCATGAGTGCGGTGCAGACTTCGTTCCACTAAAAATTACAAAAATATGTTTTTGTCTATCCCGGCTAAATATATAACAAACCAAGTCATTAAACTTACTTTTTATTCCAAAAACTGAAATATTCNGAAAAATAGTAGCACATAACAAAAAGTCATAAATTTGTGTTAAATTGTTATATTTTAGACTAAAATTTAGCACATTTACTTAGTATTTGGTAGCATGACCGTTGTTTTTAATAACTGCTACATAACGATTTCTCACTTCTAGCACAAAGCTTGTGTTCTCGGAGCCATCTCCTTACCGTATGAACACTATATGGTAACTTTAGGTTGTCCAAATTTTTCAAGCTGACATTGTGGGACGAGTCTTCGAATATATAATAAGTTTGCCGTATGGTAGTCGTTGATAATTGCTGTTTGCCGCTTTTCAGGTTTATTTTCATACGTTAACGTATTCATGGAGGCTGAACATCCACCAATTTTTTCACTTCTTTATATGTTTTCCCCATTTTTCATAAGGGTTTTAATAATTTCACGTTTTTCATGAGTGCGGTGCAGACTTCGTTCCACTAAAAATTATAAAAATATGTTTTTGTCTATCCCGGCTAAATATATAACAAACCAAGTCATTAAACTTACTTTTTATTCCAAAAACTGAAATATTTTTAATTGAAGTAAAATTTGAGACTTTATTTGTTCTGCACTACTATTTCACTGCTCGTCAACAATCGGAGCAGAACTCTACATCAGATTTTTCTGAGTAAATCTTGAAAAGCACTGAAGACATGACAAACCTGGTGTGGAGTTCTACTCTATTAAGAGACAAATTAAACATGAGTTTTTTTCTTAGCCCCAGCACCAAAACAAGGGCTTCAATTCGACACCATCCAATGGGGGTGGCAATGTAGGTGTACTTGCAGCAGACTCCAGTGCTCAAATGCAAACCGTTATAATGGGCAATCAAATATTGCGAGTCCAACAAGTGCCGACGGTGAAAACGGTCGGATCTACCGGGTCTCCGATGCAACACCGCGTAGCAACTTTACCAGTTGGAAGCTTTGTTGGCGGTACAACTACGTCCAGTAATGTAGTTTTGAATAATGGCCCGGAAACATCAGCAAATACCACAACGGTGAATTTACCTAAAACTTTAGTGCTCGGCAATAGCGGCCAAACAATACGTGTGCAGCAATCAGTTCAAACAGGCCACTCCCAATTACAGCCTGTAGCACAGCAGACCCAGCCACAGGCCCAGATGGTTACTGTTAAGAATACATCCCAGCAGGTATGAATTTGTAGATGGAATACATTTTTATGAATAATTAAATTTATATTTAAAAATTGGCAGGGTGCAAAAACATCAAATGTCGGCCGTGTAGTTCTGGCTGTACAGGGTGGTGGGCAAATATTCCTTTCGCCTAATTTTCAGGGCAATACATTAAACCTGAAGTCATTGCAAAATATGAAAGTGGTTTCCTTAACGCCGCGTACTAGCACTGTTACAGGATTGACACAGGCACAGGACAAGCAAACAACAGTGTCACAACAAAAAAGTGGAAGCAGCAACTCTTAAAGGGAGCTAGTTTTTCTGAACATTTATGTTTTGTGAATGAATGTAAAAAATTAACCGGTATAATTATACATTTGTATGTACGAGACATGAGTATAAACATAACTACTAAATTAATTGACGTAATAGCTGCTGAAAACACATGTAATGTATGACTAATTACTCTTTTCTCATAAGATATTTGGCTTACATCAAGATATTCAATAGTTCTAATTAATACTATTTAAACTTAAATAAGAATTCAAACTTGTAAGTGAAACCATGTATACAGATTTTTATGAATTCTCGGATTTTCATAATTTAAAAAAAGTAATTTAGAAAATGGTTTTGAACGCTTTTTCAGTTTTATTAAATATACAAATAAGTTTCGATATTAAATTAGAACACGAAGATATGAATTAAAAAGTATGCTACAGTAGTTTTAAATGTGCCTGTCAGTTAATTGCTTGCTTTAGAAGCGTCTGGGTACACCGTATGCTGGTATACTACTTATCATTCCACCGGAAACAGGTCTATTTGGGCCTTGTGGTATATTTAAACCACCAGGTATCGACATTCCAGTTGCACCCATTCCCGCTGATTCATTCATAGCAGCCATGCCACTACTTACTCCTCCAATGGGTCTATTGTGCACACCTTGATTTGCTTGAATATCTGACAAGCAAGCTTTCCATTCTTCCAAACGACTGTAGTGCTTGTTCAGCAGCTGTTCTTTGCGTGCTATCTCATTGCGCAAGTCCTGGTTTTCATCTTTTATTAACATATCGGGCTTCAGTGTGGATACAAGAAAACGTTTTTGTAGAAAGAATGCCTCCATCTGCCGGGCAACGTCAATAAAGCGATTCGTTGTTTTTTGTACCTCCAGTTCGATCTCATCCTTGTTAGTGCCAGTGTTAGGTTCTGATTTGGTCAACGACAAAAGACATGCCTGGAACGCTTCCTCGAACTCGTCCATAAGATTGCCATTCTCGTTGCTAGAAGAAGCCATAACTACCTGAGACGTACAAAATTTAAGCAATGAGAAATAAAATGTACTGAAAGCCAAAATAACATTCGTTTAATTTCTATAGTTACCAGATCGATGCCGAATGGTCGACGTCCGATAAATTGGTCAAAATCTAGATATATGGCATCGAAAATTTCAATAACCAGCCGTCTTCACACACGATGTAGCGAACTGAAGGTGGCGTATTCCGCAAACCTCTATTTTGGTTTTGCCTATTTTTACAGTTCTCGATTTTCATAAACAACGGCTCAAAAACTTTGAATGCCCTGAAATTCACTATACTTTCATTAAAACCATCTTTTTTCACATTTCCTTTATTAATTTTTATTACAAATCATATATTTTCACAATTTAAAGCAAAACACGTTTCCTATCGGAAAAGGGAATATTAATATAATTGACTTATCTCACATTTATTTACTGCGGGCTCCAGTAATCGACAAAATTTTGCGTATACATACAGCGTTTAAGCGTCCTTTCTCTCGTAAGCGAGATAGTTTGGACATTTGACATTTGACTGGACATTTGACAGCATACTGTTACGATTCAAGAATGATATGGGGTGTTCACAGTTCGTTCCAAATTGTGTCTGAAAATGTAGACGTCTACATTTTGAGACATCTTTAGCATCAAACTGTGAGCACCCCTTTCTAGCAGTCGTCGCAAAATCGTCTCAAAACTTTGCTGGTGTTGCCAGACATTTCTTCTTTGCGTGC